GCCGGCCCCAAGTAGGGCGTCCGCGAGCCGCGTGGTCTCCATGGTGCTAGGGCCAGGCGCCGCCCAGCCAGGAGGCCCGCCCGGGTTACACGGCAGTCGCTGGGGAGGGCAGCCTGGGGGCTTGTCCCGGCCGGCGGGGACACTGCCCGCGCGCCACAGGCCTCCGCCGCCCTGCGTCAGGTCCTGGGATAGGACGGGTCCCAGCTCGGCCACAGAGACACTCACCCTGCCTGCATCGACCATGGGCCACGTGGCAGTAGTGGCCGCAGGATCCCGCCGTTCCCTGTTCCCTCGAGTTACTCAACTGGCCCACCTCACTGGTTTTGCACTGTCTTCGGAGCGCGGAGCCCGGGCGCCGCCCACGGCGCAGACGCATGGTTGTGCATGAACCCCAGAGTTGGTGATGCAGGCCTGTGAGCCGGGAGGCTGCGCGCAGCAGGCAGAAGGCGGGATCCTGGTTTCTGCTGTCCGGCCGCCCGCCTGCCCGCCCGCGAGTCTGCGAGGCCCGGAGCCGGAGCTGGTGCCCACGTGCCCTCGTGGTGCGGAGCCGCAGTCCACCAAGGCACCACGCCGCGGCCCTGCCCGCGTTTCTACGCCTTTCTACTTCTCAGATCTGATTTCTATGAGGTTTTTTTTAAACAAGCAAACCTTGGCTGCTTCCTTTTCTTAACTCTTTCCGTACCGAGCGCAGCCCCTCCACGTGAGAACACCCAGCACTGTGACGGAGTCGGGCCCGGTTGGGGGTCCCCACGCCGGCGGGCCCCACCCGGCACACCCGGGCAGGGCTCCCGGCCTCCCCGACCCCGGTGAATCCCACTGAATTTCTACTCGGGTGTGGGGGGCACACACTTAGGTTTTTTTAATGCCAATTCCGTTTTGATGCCTAATCTAAGAAGCCACAACTTGCTTCATTAGCTTAATGAGGGCGGCAGCCAAGACATCTCCACTTGGAGAAGGACACTGCTCTGGGCTGCTCTGCTCGTTGGGCCTGAGCATCGGCCCTCCTCCCGGCCGCCCTCTGCTTCACCTCTACATGCGCACCTGCGTCCACCTGCATCCCTGTGCAGGCGTCCGCCCAGCCTTGCTGGCTGCCGGGTGGCCAGGCTCGGTCCCCCAACGGGGAAGGGGCCACAGGACTGTGGGCTGGGCCATGGAGGTGCGCAGGTGGAGTTAGCATTTTCCTGCGTGTAGATATGTACAGCCGAAGCGGGGGTGTAAATGTTCTGACAAAGTGAGTCTCCACGGGGTGAAAGCTATTTATTTTGTGCAGAGAAAAATGTCTGGAGGGATGGAACCTTCAGGGTTTATTCATACTTAAGATGTTTTTCCTCATTGTTTCAGGCGTCATGTATAAAGCAAAGATGCTTTTATGGACCAAGTTTTAATGTACTGTTGCAGCAAAAGTGCAATATCTGACTCCCCCTCTGCTCCCCAGCGGGAACTAACTCGGCCCGACAATCACAGCCCCTCAAGGGGCCCCTGTGGCCAGTGCCTCCTCCTCATCGGTCCCATGTCACCCTCTCTTGCCTCCTGCCTAGGTGACCAGCTATCCGGAGAAGCACTTGGAAGAGAGTCTTGGGCCTGCCTGCAATAAAGGCCAGGAGGCCTCCTGGCCTAGGGAGGCCAGGTGGTCAGGGGCTTGGCCTCGCCCCAGAACAGTGGCCACCCCACGTGGCTCCCAATCCTGCCTGCCTGCCCGCCCAACAGCCATGCCAAGGACAACAGCAATATTCCCCTGGGCCTCTCCCACCGGCCCGCAGCCATAGATGGCGAGATGGGCAGCACACCCCCGCCGCCATTATCTTCTGTATCCAGGCCTGCTTTCCGCCTCCCTCATGAGTCCTTGTGGCACATCCTCTTGAGGAAGCACCAGTTGTTTCAGAAACCAAGAGAGGGAGGGCAAAGTCCTCTAAAATACCAAAAATGTTTACAGGGTTGGGTCCTGAGCCACTGTGCTCAGGCCTGACCAGTCATAACCAAAGGGTGAGGCGGGCCTCTGCTGACTGCCACCCACCCACGCCTGTTAGAGTAGAAGCCTTACCCCCTCCCCCAGACCCAGGTTAGAGCCCCATCCTGCCACCCCTGGACCCCACCACCTGCCTTCTCTTTGATTTCTAAGCAGCCACTCAGCAGAGGCCCCCGCCAGCCCCCTCCTGGCTTGTCTTCAGATGTCCACTCGTCCCATCTGTCCCTGTGCTGTCTGTATCTTTGGGTTAGTGTGTGAGCCGTGTCCCGCCTCGCCCCACCCATCCTCACTGTCCTTGCACCATCGGGCCTGCGTGTGCTCTGTGTAGTGTCATTGTACGTTACACCAATTAAAGAAGCAGGAAGGCTTCCTTCTGGGTCTCTTTACTGAGCGGCAGCCACAGAGCATAGAGGTGGGGGCAGGGGCGGGAATGCGGACACGGCCTGACCTGCCAGGGTAAACGTTACCAGCCACACTTACGGTAACACCAATACACACATCCAACGGGCTTGCTCTGGACCCGGCCCTCTTCTAGCCCGTCTCCATGCATTAACTGGTCTGTCTCACAGCAACCCAAGGGAATGAGTACTGTGAGCCCCTCTGTTTTACAGGGGACACAGCTAGTAAGTGTGGAGCCTGGATTCCCCCAAGCTGCCTGGCTGCAGTGCCAGGGCTCTTAACTCTTGTCACCTGTGGAACACAAACAGCAGGGAAAGCAGTCTTACTCCAGCCTGGCTTTGGGGATCAGCTGGGCCTCCGGGTGTGAACCAGGCTGGCTGACATAACGATGAGCAGGATGAATGTGGCCGGTCTGACCTGTGCTCACGGCTCACCACCACCAGGGAGCACCCCAGCTCACCCAAAACTCTTGGAGTCTGTCCCCCCACTCCAAGTGGAGCAGCACACTCCCCTCCCCTTCAGCACAAAAAGCAACACAACAGGGAGTCTACAACCAAACAAGTTTATTATCTGAGAACTGGAGCTCTTTCAGGAGACATAGGGGAGGTGCTAATGAGAACAGTGACCCCTGCATCTGAGAGGAGGCTGGGCCAGGCCAGAGGCCAGCCCCCAAGAGGAACGGCACACAGCACCCAGCAGGCCTCACGGCAGCAGCCCGGCCCGCATCTGGAAGGCCAGGCCGTCCCCTCGGGTGGCTTGCTGGAGAAGAAGCACATGGGCAGGAGAAGGGACGTGAAAAGTGCAGCTCAGGTGGGTGACAGGCAAAATGGTGATACCAACCTTGTTGATCTCTCTGTGCCGCTCTTTGGTTACAATTTCCTCCAAGACCTCGCCGTCTCCCTTAATGAGCCTGAGGGGCAGGGAGGGGCAGGGGTGTACTCAGCAAGAGGTCCCTGAGCCTCGAATGCCAGGGCAGCAGGGGGGCCCCAGGGCCCCAGTTCCCAGCACCTAGAGCAGGCAAAGCCTGGGCATCCCCATCCTCTCACCCACACTTGAGAGGGGACAGAGACGGCAGGAGGAGGCTCTGCCTGGCCCGTCTCTGCCATCAGTCTGGCCAACAGTGGCTCTGTAAAGAGCTTCCTTGAGGCTCTTCCAGCCAACAGCTTACCCTGGGCAGTGGGAAGGGCAGGACTGAGATGCCCCATCAACATGTGACTGGTTTGGGCTTTTTTAGAACAGCAGCAGCCACAGCCCCTCCTCCTAAACTGTACATCTTGGGCCAACACTCCCAGAGGCAGTGGCGGGGAGCTGGACTGCACCCAGCAATCCCCACCTGGTGCGTCCCGTCTCGGGGTCCACCACCTTGCGGATGACACTCTGCCGGGCATCCCACTCCTCCTTGGTCATGGGCTTCATGGCTTGGATGCGGGACTTCTGCTCATCTGTCAGGACTGGAAGGAAAGATGGCAGGGAGGGGGTGGGCAGGCTGCAGAGAGGGACCCTTCCCTCACGCCAGGACGGCAGGGTACCTGGGCCATCCTCTTCCTCCGCAGCTGCTCGGTGCCACTGGTCCAGCGAGGGGCCGGGCAGGGCCTCAGCCTGCTGCGCCTTGGCCTTCTCCCTGTCTTTCTTCTTCAGCTTCTTCTTCCTTTTTTTCTTCTTCTTCCTCTTGTTGTCCTTGTGCTTCCGCCGCTTCTTCCGGCCATCGCTGGAGGAAGAGGAGGACGAGGAGGAAGAAGAGGAGCTAGAAGAACTGGAAGAGGAGGAGGAAGAGCTGGACCGTGGTCTCCTCCGGGCCTTGTGCTTGCTTCTCCCTGTGATGCACGGAGAAGGGGAAGCTGGAAGACCAGGATGGGAAGAAGAAAACCCTCATCCCCTGGCTCTGGCCTGTGGCAGGCTCAGGCCGACTACCCGGGCTGAGACCCGCCTGGCAGGACTTTGCAGAGCAGGGATCAGAGGCACTCTCTGGGCTCCAGGTGGTCACTGTCAGCCCAGGAGTGGGCGGCCAGCACCCACACCTCACCTCAGGTTCAGCTGCACATTCCTAGTTAAAGGCACCCTTCAACCCACATTCTTCACTCTGTGCCCCAGACTACAGCTGATAGCCATTTCCCCACAGGCAGCCCCAGGAAGCTGGCCCGGCTGCTGGCAGCTCCCGCCAGTGAAGTGACTGCAAGCCCCCTTCCAGCCCTTCTGGTCCTCACCCTCGGCCCCGGAGGCGGTGCTGGCCTTGCGGCCTTGGGATCTAGAGGCCGAGCAGCTCCTGGGAGCGTCCTTACTGCTCTTCCTCCTCTTTTCCGCCCCTCGCCCCCGGGACCGGCTGCGACTCCTCGAGCGCTTGCGAGAGCCGACGTGAGCCATAGCGCCTCCTGCTGGAAATGCGGGGGAACGTGCTTAATCTGAGGCTGCAAGGGCGGCTCTACTCCAGGCACCCAGCACCCCTCCCCGGACCCTTCACCGCCCCGGGGCGGGGGTCGCAGGAACCGCGCGGTCCCTATCCTTTCCACCCTTGGAGACCCCGGGTTCTAGGCTCGCCTCCCCGCTCCTCCGTTGCGGCCCCTTTAAGGACCCGCCCCCACCGGGATGCTCCGCGCCTGCGCATCTGGCTCGGCGCCCTGTGAGGCGGTGGCGACCCTCAGCCGGGAGAGGTGAAGTGTGTTTCAAGTTCTTTTCCGCGCGCTCCTACCCTCCACCCCCGCGCCTTCCGCGGCCTCACTGCCTTGGGGAGAGTCTCCGGGGCTACTCCGTTACCAACTCAACCGCCCATCGGGCTGAACAGCCAACCCTACACCCCGCCTTCGTGGGAGGAAGCGGTGGCGAGGTAGTTTCCGGCCAGGGCAATTGGGCCGGAAGACGGTCCAGTAGGAAGGCGGTCCGGCGGGAAGGTGAGACCCTACTACCTTTAGTTCCGAGGCTACAGGTTCCGCCTCTGAGGTAGCCGAAGAAACGAGTCAGGGCGGCCACCTCCCGCCAAGAAGAGCAGAGGACCCAGGATCCCGCCTCCAGCGCTGCGAGGCCGTGCCCGCGCCCGCTAGCGCAGTTTCCCGCGGAGAGGAGGCTCTCACGCCCTTTCACCTGTCTTTGCCCTCGCTGGACCCGCTTTCGTCGCGCAGCCTCAGCACCCCCAGTCTTCCGCTGCCCCAAGGAAGGCGGCCACCCTACGGCGCTCCGCTTTGCTCCCTGCATTGTCTGCGGACCTGTCCACCCCGTCAGACTGAGGGCTCCAGGACTGGGACTCCCTCGTCCTTCCTCTGTCTCCACCCCACCTCCTGTAACACAGGGGTCACGCAATCAGATGTCCACAAGAGCCAGAGAGACCATGACGATGAATAAGGGAGGAACCCGTGTGATAGAGTGGACCCCAGGGCAGCTGAGACTAGGCTCCGGCTGATGGGTGCAGTGTGGGCTGGTGTTTGCAGATCTTCTAGTTTTTCCCGGGAAGCCAGAAATCAGTATTTCAGCAAGCAGACAGCTGTGGGCCTCGTCCAGTGTTGGGACCACCACGTTGCAAACTCTTAATTAATAATAATAATGACAGCAACAAACTCAGAAGGCTGTTTTGCAGTACTTGACAAACGTTAATTCATTTGATGCTCACAACAGCTCTAGAAAGTAGGTACTTTCCAGAGGAAGAAACTCAGGCACAAAGAGGTTAAGTGGCTTACCCATAGTCACACAGCTGGAAGTGGCAGAATGAGGATTTGATCCCTGGCAGTCCCTGCTCAACATCCATCTAGAAAATGCTACTGATGTCCACCCAGATCCCCTTTACAAACGGGAACACACACACATCCCAGCTTTAGGGTCCGCTGTACTCTTCTCTGGAGGCGTCCCTTGGCCATTGGGAACCATCTTGCCCTGAACACAGATGTCTGGGAGGTTACTGACCTCCCCTTCTCATAGTCAATAACTGATACTAGGGGTACAAAAGAGGTCCCCATGCTTCAGGGGGAAACTGTGGTCTGAATCATGCTCCAGAACTCTCCTTGGGATCAGTCAGGCTGAGGCCAGACTGCACTGAAACCACATCCTTGCCCAGCCCCGTTCCCTACTCTCTCTCCTCTCCCTCAGGAAACGCTCTCCATCCAAGAGCCCATCTACTGAATCAATGACCCAGAGGCCTGCCTGTCTTGTGAAACCAAGTGCTGTGGCTGCAGGGAGTTTATTTCGCTCCTCCCAACCCAAGGGGGCAGAGCCACCACCAGCTACACCACCCCCCACTCGCTGGGCCCAGCCAGGCTCAAGTCAGCATGCACACATCCACCGTGGTGGGCTCCTCACGGGTGAAGCCGTCGCCAAAGCCCTCATCATCTACCAGGTCAGGCTTGCGGCAGCACATGGGGCAGAGGTGGTTGCGCACAGCAGAGGCCCGGAGCCAGACGACGAGGTTCCATCGCTCACCAGTGCCCAGGGGCCGGGCCCCATGCAGCTGGCCGCCCCGGTGCAGGATGCCCTGGCCCACCACATGCTCCACCTCCAGCGGCTCCGTCAGGGCTGCGGGGGCCTGCAGAAAGCGGGGTTCAGGCCTGGGCACTCACAGTAGCCCAGGTCCTGCCCCCTGACCACCCCCGCTCACCTGGAAGAGGCCCCCAAAGTACAAGGCGCCCCCTGTGAAGGCCTTGCCCAGGGCCACGTTGAGGGTGAGCTCGGCATTATCATAGTGGTAGCCTAGCTCTCGGTCCTGACCTGGTGCGTACTTGACCACGAAGGCACGGTGGCTGTCAAGCGGGCCCCCACAATACTCTGGATACAGCAAGGCCATCAGCGGCTGTAGGAAGCGCTCCCGCAGTGGAGTCACCAGCGGCTCATCCAGACCTAGCTCGTGGAGCAGCACCTGGTGGGGAGGGGCCCCTGGTGTTGGCAGGGAGACTGGGGGCTTCATTTTGTGTGACCAGGGAATCCCTTACTACGTTCTAAGGACCGTGCTGAGTGCATACGTCAAGTCGTTCAATTTCTCACTAATCCTGCTGTTATCTCCTTTCACAGATGGGGACACCAAGGACAGAGGCTCCCACAGCTGGTCTGCAGTGTACAGACCCAGACCCCCCGGCCCACCCGGCCAGGCCTCACCCACCCCGTAGTTGTTCATGGTGTTGGGCCTTCCCTTGGGCAGGTCCGACTGCTCAAAGTGCTCCAGCTCCTCCAGCAGAGCCTGGCAGAAGGACGCCGTGAACACTGGCACCCGGTAGATCCGCTTCTCCTCTGTTGGGGGAGGGACGGTTGGTTGGCTGGGCACGGGCAGGGAGATGGGGAACCCTGGTGTGGGGTTGGACAGGCCTACGTTTCAGTTCCCTCCTGAGCTGTGTGAGCTGGGGTGTGTCTGTTCATTTCCTGAGCCTCGGTTTCCTCACATGCACAATGGGGTCAGTGAGGACCCTCACCTCTCAGGGCTGTTGTGATGATTAAACGATGGAGCGTTTTTGCAGTGTTCAGCATGGGCTTAGGCTCAGCAGTCAAGGACCTGTCACTGTGCCCTTATTTATCCCTGGGCTGCACACTTGCCCACGGGGCCTACGGCCCAGTCTCCTGACCTGCCAGCAGCAGAGCTCAGATGTAGGTCCCAGGGCTCTGGGAGGGGAAGGGACCAGCCCAAGGATATGCGGAGGTCAGCAGTGGAGCCAAGCAGGGCCCAGAGCCAGCCCAGGTTCTCTGCACCCACTGCCCTTGATGAGCCACCTAAGTTTGTCCCCAGACTCAGAAATGTCCCTTGAGGCCTCTGTTCACCACACAGTAAGGCCTGGGAGGGGCTACTCTTACTTCCTGTGCCCGGTGGGGAGAAGCCAGGCTTAGAAGGGCAGTTGAAACATTTCTTGGTGTGTGCATAAATGCCCACCCAGGGATTCGTGGCATACGCGCCCCCCATCACAGCCTAGCCTCAGCCCCACAACTCAGGTTGTGGATGGCAAGCAGGGGGTACGCCAGGCTGGGACGGTGTTTTGCTGCACCCTGAGCCCCTCCATAGAACGTCTTTCTCCCCACAGGATCCCCCAGATCTAGAATACCAGCAATAGTAAGAATAGCAAACACCTGCTGAACACTTCTTATGTGGGCACAGGCCCTGTGCCGTACCCTTTGTGCGTGTTAACTCAGTCATCACAGCACATATTTAGACTTGGGTGTTATTACACTTACAGAGCCCTGGTAGCACAGTGATTGTTTGGCTGCTAACAGAACGATGGGCAGATAGAATCCACCAGCAGTTCCTTGGAAACTCTACGGAGCAGTTTTACTCTGTCCTATAGGGTCGCTATGAGTCGGAATCGACTCCACGGCAATGGGTTTAGTTTTTTGGATTTTGAGTTACTCATGGGAAAACCAAGACAGAGATGTTAAGTAACTTTCCAGTTCCGGCGGGGCGCGCCGGGGGCGGGGCGGGGCGGGGCGCGCCGGGGGCGGGCAGAGGGCCTCTCTGATCCCTCTTCCTGCCCACACCTGTGTCTACAGTTGGTTACATTCTCCAATCAAACCACGTGAGCAGGCTGCTGTTTGGTGCCTGCCACGAATCACTGCACCACTCCTGGAGGGGGTCAGTGCGTGTGTGCCTGCATGCCTGCACACTGCCCCCTGCACTGGGAGCTCCACTCCACCGGCCCTTCCGGCTCCCAGTGGTTGACTTTTTGGTGGCAGGGACAGTGGGTGAGGGTACCCCAGTCTCCCATGCCCCGATGTCACAGGCTGCCGCCCCCAGACCTGCCGGGCCACGGGGCTAAGGCACCACCTCACCCGACAGGGTCTCTAGCCGCTGGAGAAGGCCCTTGAGGTCTGCGCCCGGGGATGCACTGTACTCAGCCGCGGCCAGGAACTCCGGAGCCAGAGCCACAGCCTGGGGGCAAAATGCGCCAGCTGTGGGGCAGGCAGCTGCCCAGGCCTGGATGCCGCTGCCTCCTTCCAGGAGCCCACCCAAGCTCCCTTCCTGGTACCTGCAGCGAGGCGTAGACTTCGGGCCGTGCTGGGCGGTAAGAGCTGGCGATGAGGGCTTTCCTGGCGGCCGACTCCTGCCCTAGCTGCCGCCTCCGCTCCACCTCCTGCTCAAGCTGCAGGGGCACAGGGCCCTGTCACCTGGGCAAGGCCTCCATCCGCCCAAGGCCATTGAACGGATAAGGAAACCGAGGCCCAGCAGAGCCGGCACGGAGTCTCTCACCACTCCTGCATCCACAGGGCTGATCTCAGGTACCAACTTGTTAGCTGAAGGAGACTCCTTCTAGAAGGGGGCCATCCCAGTTCGGGCTGCACCCCCCTGAGCCTGCCTGGGGATTGAGTGCTCCTCAATGCACCTCAAGCAGTTGGGCTCACTCAGGGAGGAGAACAGACTCCTGACCAAGTCCCAGAGGCTGCACAGGGCTCTCCTGGGAAGCTGCCGCCACCGACTCCCAGGGGAGCAGGAGGAACGGCAGCAGCCCCAGCACCATCCTAAGGGTGAGGGGAAGTATGAAGGGTCCAGGAGCCCAGCAGCCTGGTTGGAATCTCAACTCCACCCACTGTGAAGCCTGGGCCAAGTGGCTCCCCCTCTCTGAGCCTCAGTTCCTCCCAAAGTGCGGGTGACGGTGGCACTTCTCCCTCAGAGCTGTTAACAAGGTGATGTGCTGATGTGGATAACTCAGCATCCCGTTTTCTGTCTTCTAGTGCCAGGACCCAGGAGGAGGAGGAGAGGGCTACTGGTGGGGAATGTGGGAGGGGTAGTGGCAGTTAGGTGCCATCAAGTTGATTCCAACTCATGGAGACCGCATGTGACAGAGCAGAACTGCCCTACAGGGTTTCCTAGGCTGTAATCTTTACAGGAGGACCCGTGGTGGCGCAGTGGTTCAGCACTTGGCTTCTAACTAAAAGGTTGGCAGTTGGAACCCGCCAGCCGCTCCTTGGGAGAAAGATGTGGCAGTCTGCTTCTGTAAAGACAACCTTGAAAACCCTATGGGGCAGTTCTACTCTGACCTGTAGGGTCACTATGAGTCCGAATACACTCGATGGCAACGGGCAATCTTTTTTTTGTTGTTTTTTATTGTTGTAGTTTAAGTGAAAGTTTACATTTCAAGTCAGTCTCTCATACAAAAATTTATACACACATTATTATGTGACCCTAGTTGCTCTCCCTATACTGTGACAGCACACTCCTCCTGTCCACCCCGGATTTCCTGTGTCCATTCAACCAGCTCCTGACCCTCTCTGCCTTCTCATCTCACCCCTGGACAGAAGCTGCCCATTTAGTCTCATGTATCTACTTGAGCTAAGAAGCGTACTCTTCACAAGTATCATTTTATGTCCCACAGTCCATTCCAATCTTTGTCTGAAGACTTGGCCTTGGGAATTGTTTTAGTTCTGGGGGAACGGGTAATCTTTACAGGATTAGATCGCCAGGGCTTTTCTCCCTCGGAGCTGCTGAGTGGGTGCCAACGCCAACCTTTGGGTTAGTAGTCCAGGGATTAACCACCGCACCACCAGGGGCGGCAGGGGGAGGGTATAAGGAGGCCTTTAGGGATCAGGAACTAACAGACCTGACCCGGGGACCCTCAAAGTGCTGACACAAATCGAAAGAGGAAGGGTCGGGCTGGGTGTGTGGGGTGGGAGTGGGGGTGTTACCTCTGCTAACAGCTGCTGGAAGTCCTTGGGGCTGACACAGCCTCGGTCGCGCAGGGTCTGGTAGCGGAAAAGCCAGTGAGTATAGGGATTAGGGTTTAAACTCCCACTGACCATGTGACCGTGAGCCTGTTTCCCCTCCTTAAAATGCGGATGAGAGTGAGCCCCGACGTTACAACATCCCGTGGGGATGAATGAGATGACCCTCGTTCCGCCCAGAGCAGGGTTGCCAACTGCTGTTAGTAACAGCGCTGCCACAGCACTACGAGCCAGGTCTGTGCTAAGCACGTTACATATATGTTCATTTTCCCACAACGTCGGGAGGGAGATACTCTTATTGCCCCAGTTTGAGCCGAGAAATCTGAGCACGGGCAGGTTAAGTAATCCTTGTTATATTTGAGCACGTGGGTGGGCAAAGCGAACAACTTTGGGGACCAAGTACCCTCCTCGGCCAGTCTGCCCGCGCGCCCTTTTCTCGGCAAGGACAGTAGAGGCCACTCACCGGGCCGTAGTCCCGGAGCAGCTGCTGCTTGCCCCGGAAGCGCAGGTGCAGCCCGTAGCGCGCCACGTACAAGTTCTCGGAGCAGAAGCAGGCGCAGCGGCAGAAGCGCCGCGGAGCCCCAGCCGTCGCCATGGTGAAGCGCCGCCCGCGGTCCTGCCGGCTTCCGTAGGGGCACTTCCGTATACGCCCCCAACCTCGCTTCTCAGCAGCCGCCAAGGATCCGTTTTAAATTCCCAAGTGCAGGAAACAACTAAGAATCTCCTCAGAAAACGGTCTGCGCAAGAAAGAGTGCTCCCGGGCCGCGGTGGGGCCGCCGGCCTCGGCCGAGAGCACGCGACCTTCTCGTTCTGCCTCACAGGTTCCCCATCCGCGAGGCGGGGATTAAGCGCTCCACTTTACATACAGGTAGACTGAGTCACACATTCACAGGACGTGGAGAGGTAGGGACAGGGGACTCCGACGCCTTTTACTGTGATGTCGCCTCCCTTTTCTGCTTGGAGCTTCTGAAGAATCAGCTGACTCCCCGAGAAAGGAGGAGGCCAGGAGCCTTGGCCGTCCGACCTCGCTCCCTCCCGCTGTTATAAACGCTCCAGTGGTGTGCGTCGGAGCGTGGGTTCAGCATTTACCCCAGGTCCTTGCCCAGGGCTCCCGTTGTTTCCGCCACGATTTTTCCGGTGTCTCCGCAGAGGACCCCTGAGCGTCCCCGCGAAAACGTTCCGTCCAGGGTGACTTCCGGTTGTGTAGGCGGGGCCAGTTATGGGGCAGGATGGGGCGGGGTCACGCCCCGCGCGAAGTTCTGGCTTAAGGCCACCATTGAAGAGTATGTTTCTGGCTTATGACGAGTGGGCCACGACCTCAGGGAGCCCCACCGTAGCACCCAATGCCTGGTCTCGGGGTTCCCATCGTTGTCCGATGTGCATTCCCCCAAGCCCAGGTCTACAAAGCCCTGTAACGAAGCTCGGGTGGCAGCCCCAATGCTCAGATGGGAGAACTGAGGCTCCCAGCGGGGCAGGTGGAGTTCTTTTCCACGGCTCAGCGTAGCGTGGGGATGAGGAGAGGAAGACTCTTGGGACTTAAAGAGTCCAGCTCTTACCCTAGATATGCTTTATATTCTTGTTAGTTGCCACGAGGACTTCAACCTGGTTCTCCCCAGTTCAGTAATGGCCGAGGAAGCGACACTGGAACAGAGCTGAGTTTTTAAAATTTGGCTGAACCAGAACGGGAAAAATTACCAGTCGAAGCCGTGCTAGAAACTTAATCTCCCTCTTAGAAAACAGGGGCAGCATATGCATTGCATAGCAACCAAGTCTCTTGCCTGTTGGATTTCGTGCAGAGTCCAAAGATGGCTGCTCTCTGCTCAAAGAAGGCGGCCGACCGAAGCTTTGAATGTGTCGCCCTCCACAGTCCAGTCTCCCACATCAGGCTCCTGCAAGGGCCCAATACGTCTCTTCTGAGTCTCCCGTTCCAGGGCTTCGACCCATGACTTTTCCCATTCCAGTAATCGTTCCGAATCACCCAAATTTTAAGAATTTGGGTCTGTTTGGGTCTTGCTTCATCGGCCATGAGTGAACTGGTTCGAAGCCCTGTCTGCCACCAAGTCAGCTCGGACTCTTGGTGCCCTATGTACAACAGAACAAAACTGTTGGCCCAGTCCTGTGCCACGTTAGTATGCTCGAGTCCACTGTTGCGGTTACTGTGTGTTTTGAGTGATTCCAACCTAGGAGGCTCATCTTCCAGCCCCATATTGGACAGTGTTCTCTTGTGATCCATAGGGTTTTCATTAGCTGATTTTTAGAAGTAGATCACCAGGCCTTTCTTCCTAGTCTGCTTTAGTTTGAAAGCTCTGCTGAAACCTGTCCACCACAGGTGACCCTGCTGGTATCTGAAATACTGGTGGCATAGCTTCCAGTATCACAGCAACATGCAACCCACCACAGTACGACAGACTGACGGACAGGTATAGGCAGGTGACCACAAATAATGTCATCGGTCCCCTGCACCTCCTTTCTGCTGGAGGTCCCTTAGGCGTGCATTAACAGGTCTACCGCCCAGCTTATTTCCTTTCATCCCTACAGAAAACCTTTGCGCTAGGTGCTTTTACATCACCATATTACAGATGGGGGAACTGAGGCTTCAGAGGTGCAATGAGGGGCAAATAAGGTGTCTGAGCCCAACACAGCCTCCTCGTTCACCAGGACAGGCGTTCTCTGAGCGGGGAGATTCTGAGGGCTTTGGCCTTTTCGTTTTGTGCTTGTGGGCATGTTCTCGATGACTGCGTGCCTTCCCCCCACTCCCGCCCCAGGTGTACACGCAGGCTCACATTCACACACTCAGTCACTCACACCCGTTCTCAGTTGTGCACAGACACCTACTGACACACGGGTGCACACACACACACACTCTTTACATGCTCACACAGTGCAACACACTGCACACACGCACACACCTCGGCTCACAGCCTCACTCGTACACGCTCACACATCTCACATACAGTCACAGCCACACTCAAACCTTCCCCTGCTCACGCTCACCCACACCTGCACACATCCCACATACGCTCACACATACACAGCCCCCAGCTCCAAGGCCCACCCAGTGCTCCCACAGGAGCCCCAGGGCCCCTGGAGGAAGATGGGAGACCCTCACATCCTGGGCTATGGTGCCAGGCCACCCTCCCAGCTGGTCCAAGGCTCCAGCCAGCGGAGTCTTCCTTCCTCTCCCCAGCACCATGGAGGAGGGGAGTGTTCCCTGGGCAACGCCTACACCCACAAGCCGGGCAGGAGCATTGAGAGCCTCCTGAATGTGCACACGTGTGTGTCTGAGTGTGTGAGGTGTGTATTTGGGGTATGCACGTGAGTGTGTAGAAGTATGTTTTGAGGGACAGACAAGTCCCCATCCTTCCGAAGCTCTCAGTCCAGTGGGGAGATGAGAGTAAGCGGGGAAATGGTATGCAGTCAGGTGATTTCCCTTCACCTGTCAAGTGCTGGGCAGACAGACTGGGTGACAAGAGGGAGAGCACGTGGAGGTGGCTGCTTTGACAGGGTGGCCAGGGTAGTTGTCCCAGGGAGGTGCCTCTGAGCTGAGATCTAACTGCTGAGGCACGCCTGGCAGGAAGGTGTTCCTGGAAGGGGGGGAAGTTCAAAGGCCCAGAGGCAGGAATGAGTTAGGCAAGCTTGAAGAACAGTAAGAAGCACGAATGAGGGAGTCATAGGAAATGAGGTTAGGGCAGTATCTGAAGCCAAGTCACTGGGCCCGGGAGGCCATGGTTAGCATTCTGGGTTTGACAGTACATGCAAAGGAAAGCCATCTAATCCTCACAGCACACCCTATGTGGTAGGAACTATCCTCATTTCACAGGTGAAGAAACTGAGGGCAGAGAGGTTGCATGACCTGCCCACGGTCACACAGTTCATATGTGGTAGAGTCTAGAATTGAGCCCAAGCCTGACTCTGCTGGGCTGCTGGGAATGGTACAGCCAGGCCTCCATCAGCACCCCTCCCCTCAGAAGGGAAGGCACTGGGCCTCAGGGGCCCTGGAGTCCAGCCGGAGCTTCAGTCTCAAGGTCCCAGCCCCAGCCCAGAGCTGCCCAGTCTGAGAAGGTGTTTAAAGTTTTACAGGGTATCTTGATTGCGCAGCGATAGTGGGGGGCCCTGCTATCAGGAGAGGATCCATTTCCCCAGCTCAAAGTTCATTACCCCCATAACTGCCTTTCTCCCCACATGGCCCAGGGCGGGCCTGGCTCCCCATCCAGCCACCGTGCCAGTGTGGGAAGCGCCACCCCCACCAGCTCACCTGCATGGAGTTCTCATTTTGCAGCGGCTTGCAAGATGAGCATGTTGTGCCTGTCAGTTTAGACTGGCCTTCCCTGTGCCCCCCTCTACTCCTTGGAGACAGTGTCCCCACCCCCAGCCCGCCCCAGCCTGGGCCTAGTCACTAAAGGGAACAGCAGCAAGAGGAGTATTAATAGTAAACACTGTGGGAACCTTTGTTGATCACTTCAGGTACTATTATCCCCAATTTACAGATGAGGAGACTGAGGCTCAGGGAGGTGCAGGGGCCTATTTAGGGTTATATACCTAGAGAGTAGCAGAGCGAGAATTAGAACATTGTCTGACTCCAAAGTGGTGTGTGTGTGTTCATAACAGCCAAAAAGTGGAAATCACCCACAGTGTCCATCAACTGATGAATGATAAAATGTCGTCTGTCCCTACAATGGAACATTACTCAGCCACAAAAAGGAATGAAGTTGTGATCCATGCTACAACATGGATGAACCTCAAAACCCTTATACTTAGTGAAAGAAGCCAGTCACAGAAGGCCATGTGGTGTGTGATTCCATTTGTATGACATGTGCAGAACAGCCAAGACCATAGCAACAGAAGGCAGATTGGTAGTTGCCAGGGGCTGGAAGGAGGGAGGACTAGGGAGTGATTGCTAGTGGGTACGAGGTTTCTTTTTGGGGTGATGAAAATGTTCTGAAATTAGATAGTGGTGATGGTTACACAAGTTTGTGAATGTACGAACACCACTGGGATTGTGCAGTTTAAAATGGTGAATTTAATGATATGTGAGCAGGAGTAGATTACCTAGTAATCAAGGTAAGCACAGGCTTACTTACTAAATGTGAAATTGGTCACTACAGATTAGGAAGTAAGCCCGTGTTTACCTTGCTCACTGGGTAATCCACCTCTGTCAGAGATTGTAAATTTGAAAAGAGGCTTGGATTCTGTAGGAAGGTGCTGTGGGGTTGGGAGAGAGGCAGACAGCAGCCATACCTAGAAGCTGAATCTTTGACGTGGTGAAAAAAATTGCTTACCTTGCCTACCTGTTGGATAATCAATCCGCCCCTATATGTGAGTGACATCTCAATTTTAAAAAATACGTAGGACATAGGTCCCCACCCTTGCAAAGCCCTCAGTCCGGACAAGCTGAGAGACATTTTCACAGGTTACTGCAAGGCAGTGTGATCAGGGCTGGGTGGAAACACAGGCTGTGGAAGGACAAGGGGCCAACTGCCCCAGCCTGGGTGGGCATGGTGTGAGAAGGCATCCCAGAAGACCACCAGCCGGCCAGAGTCAGCCCATCTTTCCTGCAAATAATCCAAATTCCTGTTTACTGAATGCTTACCACATACCAGGGGCTGCCCTTACCAGCCTCGTCACAGTTCATCCCCACAGCACCCTGTGCAGTAGGTATCTTTAATGCCCTACTAAATAGGAAATAGGCTCAGAGAGGCAAATTCACCCACCCAAGGTCACACAGCAAAAATCACAAAGCCATTTCTGAGTTCCGCCAGGTGTTTGGATCACCCATCTGAGGTCTCTTCAAGGACAATTATTTGCCTTTGCTTTTGCACTCACAGTAACATACGTCCACATTATTCTGTCCCTTGTTTTTACTTGATACATTTAGGAGGCCATTACATACCTTATGTAACTTTTGTGTCTCTTACGTATCATTTTTTTCCAGCTACAGAGTATTCCGTTGAACCAGATGCTCTGTAATTATTTGGCCGCTCCCTATGGGAGGGCATTTCGGTTATTTCCAGACTTTTCCTACTATAGTAACTGTTTCAAACTAGCATTTTTTCTTCCCAGCTCAAGTCTATCTGTAGAAGAAATTCCCACTGGGATGCACTTTAAATTCCGCTGTGCAAACTCCCCTCCAAGGAGGCTGCCTACGAATGACAGCAGCTGCTT